GGTTGCAGGACCAAAATGGAGTTATTGGCCAGTTGGCTCATTAGACTCGTCACGGTGTGGAGCCACCATTGGGCTACGCCTCATATGCACTATACTAGGACTTGATCTGGGTTATGTTGGGGCTTGACGAGGACGTCAAGCCTTTAAGTGGGGGTGATTGTAACATCCCTGATTAGTCCCACATCGAAAGTGGGCAAGATTAAGATTGACTTATAAGGGTCTGATGAGTGTACTACTATCAACTTTAGCTTAAGCATTTTGGTTAGTGGTTTAGACCAAACGAAGTTGATAGGCTAGTTAGCTCATGAGACTCGGGTCGTGACATTTTTTGGTATCAGAGCCGGATGGTTAGGCTAGATAGCTTTGATACCTGGCTATCTAGCCTAACCATCCGGCTCGTGACATATTTCCCAATTGGCCAGTACACTCATCAGGCTCTTATAAGCTAATTATACATATTCCCCACTTCCGATGTGGGACTAATGGGATATTACATTTTTGTACTGAAAATTTGGAGGCATTATCTATATGAGATCATAAGAGTCTCAAATATATTTTCACACAGAAAGATTTAAATATGAGACAAAGAAAGTGGTTGGACTTTCTAAAGGATTATGATTTTAATATCAACTACCATCTTGGGAAAGCTAATGTAGTTGTTGATGCCTTAAGCAGAAATACCTACAATCTTGTAGCCTATATGAATATTCAAAGGAATTCTATGATAACGGAGATAGCAGACTTAAAACTTAAACTTTTATCGGAGACAAATAAAGGTTTTCTTGTGTGTTTGATGGCACAATCATTTTTGGTGGAAAAGGTTAAAAAAGGTCAAAAGGAAGATACATATCTTCAAATGATAGTTAAGGAAATAGCTCAAGGATCTAGACCTGAATTCCTCCAAGCCGAAGATGGTTCTATTACATTCCACAATCGACTTTGTGTTTCCGAAAGCCATCCAGTAAAGATGCAATTATTAGAGGAGGCATATAGATCAAAATTTAATATCCATCCCGGGACTACTAAGATGTATCGAGATTTACGCCAAAACTATTGGTGGCGTGGTATGAAGAGAGATATAGCAGAGTTTGTTTCTAAATGTCTGATATGTCAACAGGTGAAGATAGAACATCGAGTACCTGCGGGAAAGTTGCAAAGGATTTCGATTCCTGAATGGAAGTGGGAGCAAGTCACTATGGATTTTGTGATAGGATTACCCAAGACTGTGAAAGGATATGACGGAATTTGGGTAATAGTAGACAAACTTACTAAATCTGCTCATTTCCTTCCTATTAACAAGAAGTATTCATTGGATAAACTAGCAAACTTATATATTAAGGAAATTATTCGATATCATAGGGTGCCAGTTAGCATTATCTCAGATAGAGATCCAAGATTCACCTCTAAATTTTGGGGAAGTCTACAAAAATCTTTGGGCACGCAGTTAAAATTTAGTACAGCTTTTCACCCTCAAACTGATGGCCAATCTGAAAGGACAATACAAACTCTTGAAGACCTCTTAAGAGTATGTGCTTTGGACTTTGGTGGGAGTTGGGATATGCACTTACATCTAATTGAGTTTTCTTATAATAATAGTTATCACTCTAGCATACAGATGGCTCCATTTGAAGCTCTTTATGGAAGAAAGTGCAGATCACCTGCATATTGGGATGAGGTAGGAGAACAGAAGCTTTTGGGGCCTCAATTAATTCAAAAAGATGCTGATAATATTCGAATTATACGCCAAAGATTATTAACAGCTTAAAGTCGTCAGAAAAGTTATGCAGATCGAAGGCGAAGAGATCTAGAGTTCGAAGTTGGTGAGCACGTCTTCTTAAAGGTGTCGCCAACCAAGGGAGTTATGAGGTTTGGTCAAAGGGGAAAGTTAGCCCCAAGATTTATTGGCCCATTTGAGATCTTACAAAAGGTTGGTCCTGTAGCATACAGATTGGCATTGCCCCCGGCTTTGGCTAGCATCCATGATGTATTCCACGTGTCAATGCTTCGAAGATATATCAGGGATCCATCACATGTCATTTCTTACGAACCTCTACAACTACGAGATGATGCCACTTTTAGAGAACAACCAACCCAGATCTTGGAAAGGAAAGAACATGTTCTAAGGAACAAAATTATACCTTTGGTAAAGATTTGTTGGCAACACCATTCATACTAAGAGGCAACGTGGGAAAGAGAAGAAGATATGCGAGAGCAGTATCCTCATCTATTCTATTAAGGTAAGCTAAATTTGGGGACCAAATTTCCTATAGGAGGGGAAAAATGTAATCACATCAAATATTTAAGTTAGGAATTGATTTTCTTTCCTTACTTGTTATTATAATTTAAGGAAATCTTAATCTACTTCCTTATTTGTTGATATGAATTAAAGAAATAACTAGTAAGTATTCCAAATATGATGATATCATATTTGTTAGTATATTAAATGGAAATAATTTATATTAAATAAATATGAAAATTAAAATTTATTTCCCTTAATAGAGGCTCACCTCCTCTTATTTAAAGGGAGAAATTTCTCTCCTTGGTTCCTCACCTAGTCGAGCCTGGCAACGGCTTTAAATGTTGAAAGTTTTATAGTTTGAAAAATGTGTATCAATTCTTTAAATGTCAAATTTTTTTATTAAAATAATCAGTTAAAGTTTTCATAATATTCTTTGACCCATGATTAAAGTTTTTATTGTAGAATTAAATATGTTAAAAAGGTATATGTTTTATATGATATATTTTTTGTATTACAGTTTATCTTTAATCTTATCTGGATTAAATTCTTGTTAGACTAGAATATGTTATCTAAAATCCCTTTTTTTGATATTCTTTGATCTGAAATTTAAAATATATTATTTTGAATGATTTAAAATGTGACTAGAATATATTGAAATTTTATGTGTTGAAAACATGATTTTTATTTGAATTTAGAAAGCTATTTCCTTGTATTAAAACTTATCTCCTAGTCCCTCTTTTAATGTCTTATGATTTCTAGTCAAATTAAGAATGTTATTTCTTTGTATTAAAGCTTTTCTTCTCATCTATCTTTTAATGCATTATTATGTTTTTATTTATGTTGTTAATGGGTATATGCTATGACTAGTCCATGGGCCAAGGCTGAGCCAGTTTTAGGTAATGCATGCTCAATCATGTATAATGCACATGACCAGTAGATGGATTGGCTCAATCTAGCCTAATATTATTGTTGAACTTGAGCCCAAATATTGATTGAACTAAACTAGACTTGATTAGTCTAGATCAATTCAGGGTGATTCCGAATTGATTGACTTATTCAAGTTAGTTTAACCTAAATTGAACTTAATCTAATCTAAATTATACTAGTCTAGGGTGGTTCCAGACCAGTTAAATACAGATTAGAGATCAGTTCAGTTAGGCTCTAGTAAATCGAGTTCAATTGAATCGATTAAACTAGAGTTCAAGTCAATTGAGGGCTAATTTATATTATTTGATATTGATAATTTTTTAAAGAGATGTTTTAAATATGTTATTTCATCCCGAAATGGACATGACCAGTATGAGATTATATTATTTTCCTGTTGAGAGCAGGTAGGGTGATTCCCTTCGGGGATTAGCGGGCCGTCAGACGTGGCGGCTGGACGGTTCCTCCATCCGCTGTTGGGAGGAACGTGTCCCCACTTTGGCGGGTGTGGGACACCACTTCATCCGCTGTTGGGAGTGTGATATGAGTTTGCCTCCATCCGTTGTTGGGAGAACACAAACTAATCCCGTAGGATAAAGCCTCTCCATCTGCTGTTGGGGGAGTGCTCCTTCGGGTACTTGATATACGCCAATGGGATGATTGATTGAATTTTGATCATGTATTTATTTTGATTTGACTTTTGGGGTTCCTACTCAGCATTGCTGAATTTTCTTTGTTTTTTGATTTTCAGAGTAGCCTCCCTCTAGTACTAAATCGGATTCCAGTGGAGAGCGAACCTTCCTCTACTGCTAGGTAGAGCCACTTGGATGACTCTTGAAGTTAACTTTTCTATTTGTAATTTGATGAATAAATGAATCGTAATAAATAGTTATAGATGATGAATAAAGTGATGTTTATTTATTTGGCCTGTGTGAAAATATATGAAAAAAATAAAAATCCAGGATGTGACAATTTTTATGGTATTAGAGCCAGGTTTCGATCCTGGGACCTGTGGGTTATAATATTTGGTATCAGAGCCGACCTAGTATTTGGGCATGGTGAGGGGGCTCGAGTAGGAAAGGGTTGCCCGTAGACGGAGTCAGAGGACTCGTCACGACGTGGAGCCACCATTGGGCTATGCCTCACATGCACTATGCTAGGGTTTGATTTGGGTTATGTTGGGGCTTGACGAGGACGTCAAGCCTTTGAGTGAGGGTGATTGTAACACCCCTGATTAGTCCCACATCGAAAGTGGGCAGGATTAAGATTGACTTATAAGAGTCTGATGAGTGTACTACTATCAACTTCAGCTTAAGCATTTTGATCAGTGGTTTAGACCAAACGAAGTTGATAGGCCAGTTAGCCTAAGCCTATTAGGCCCGAGTTATAATATTTGGTATCAGAGCCAACCTAGCATTTGGGCATGGTGAGGGGGCTCGAGTAGGAAAGGGTTATTCGTGGATGGAGTCAGAGAACTCATTTTGATCCGTAGTTGCAGGATCAAAATGGAATCATTCGTCAGTTCCCATTGGTGAATTATGTAGGCAAGCTTTCTTTTTGGTATCGACTTGTTGTTGTTCAAATTTTGTAAATAGCATGGAGAAGGGAGTGTGATGGAAGATGGAGAGTGACGACAACGAAGGAAACGAAAGAGGGGAGTGTGGCGGGAAGGCAAAAGAGTGCGGCGACAGCAGCGTCAATGCAAACATGTTGAGAGGCAGGGCAGCGGCATACTCGGAGGAGAGAGAAGGCGTCGAGGTTGGCAGGGCAATGAATGGAGGAAGAAGGGGGTGGATTGATTTGGTTTAAACTTTAAAGCCGAATGGACAAGGATTATATTCATCATATCACCCACCATATTTGGGACGCTGCCAGTAATATCCAAGAATCAGGTAAAATTTCAAGCCCCTTTTTTTTTTAAATGTTTAAATGGTAAATTCGTGATGTTTATTTATTTATTTTTCCGATTCAATCGATGGATTTTTTATAACTGTAGAAGAATAAATATGAGCAATAACAATAACAAGACTGTAAGATTATTCCAGCTATTAGATGAACGTGTTAGCATCACTGAGTTCTTTTAAAAGTCATATTTAAAAAAAAAATATGTAAAAGAAAATCATTAATGTTTTCCTTTAATAGCAGCCCAGTATTAAACATATCAAAGGGGTTTTGGAGTTCATCCTGCAAGCCGAGTCGGTGTTCTCTCGCTCACTCGGGAACCCCAACGGAAGCAAGCGAGATCCCATGTCATCAAAGTCTGTGCCCGTTACGTCGCTGTCCTCGGGCGCAGCAGAGGCGGGGAGTGATGGCGATGATGCCACCCCTCACATCGGTGGCAGTTCCGTGGCATGTCGGGAACACAGAAGAAGACCCATCGCGTCAACGAGCAGTTGCTGCAACGTGACCCCTTCCCCCCCTCTCTCTCTCTCTCTCTTTCTTTCTCTCTCTGCTTTAACCCCATTCCTTTCACAGACATCCATCTTACACCTCGAGCTGGAGATGTCAGCCATTGCCATGTTCTTCTCCTGTACTTTCACCCTTTTCGCAGTAGACCAAAGACTTCGACAACTGCCTCATGTGTTCACTGGGTATTTGGGTCCGGCCTCGAGAACCTGCAGCTGTCAGTGGTGTGAGTGTAATGGAGAGCACTGGTTGAGGAACTTGCAGAGCAGCTTAGAGCAAATAGGGCATTGGTTTTGCACATTGCTGCACTTGTTTCAGCTCATTTTGCCTTTTGCTGTTGCAGCTTGGTCAGAGCTGTGATGGATGACCATAGCCGCACGCGTTACGGCTGCGGCAGTAGCTACACTTCTTTCCAAGGAGATCAGGAGAAGATCTCCTGCTCTTCTGCTTGTGTTGTTGGATCTTTCTCTCGTGACGCTGAACAGATGCCATCCTCTTCTTCCTACCCCATTTCTGCTGGTGGTGATGGTGGTAGCAGTGGGAAGGAGTCTCAGGACCACGACTTTGACTCTCTCGACTGTGAGAGTGAGGTGGTTTGCCATGCATGTTTTCAGCATGTCATTCATCGGGCTGTGGCTTGATCGATTGTTTGTTTGTGGTTCGTAGGAGGGCGTGGAGGCGTTCGAGGAGCCTGCAAAGCCGGTTCCTCGCCGGAGCTCTGGCTCGAAGAGAAGCAGGGCAGCAGCAGTTCACAACATGTCTGAAAAGGTGATCTGAGGTCTTCATTTTTCATCTTTTTTTATGTATTTAATTGGTACACTCTACCTGAGATAAATGGTTCTTGTGATATGATCTTTTGAATGCAGAGGAGGAGGAGCAGAATCAATGAGAAGATGAGGGCATTGCAAAATCTTATTCCCAATTCAAACAAGGTGCAATTGTGTACGAATTTTCGTTGTTTTAGTCAAGTGTTCTTGATTTGTCTCTGAAAGATTGTGCATTATATCAGACGGATAAGGCTTCCATGCTTGATGAGGCCATTGAATACCTCAAACAACTGCAACTCCAAGTACAGGTCGGTAACTACCGTCAAATTTCTCCTTTCTATAATTTTTAGATGATGTTTGCCAATCTATTGTCAGTTCTTTCCTTCTATGTTGTGTAATCTTATTTAGATACATGTGAAATGCGCCATCATCTGGTCTTCTCTGCTTGGAATATATTTTCCTTGAGCATAAATGATAAAGAAGATTAATGAGATTTGTCAAGCATGCCAATTCCACAAATTACTACTAACAAAATCTGCAGAGCTTCACAAAAGCTGCATTGAGGTGTATTTGTAAATTGTTTAGTGTTGTTGTTGTGGTTCCTTTGAGCACCAAATTACAACCTCTTGGATTAGAAAGATAGAGTTCTGAAAAATCTTGCATGATAACACATTGCAATGTTTTAATATTAAAGAACTCCATTATATAATCAACTTAAATCAGATATGAAAAATGACTGATCGATCCGCTGTCAATGACAGAGTTTGTACCCTGTCAACTTCGCCGACGATCATGATTGTGTTGAAATGTCAGGTAAAATTTCTCCCATTTGCATCTGTCCAGTATTTATTGGTAAATGATATTCTCGAATTTGATTCCTTTTGTTGGGAGCCAAAGATGATAAGTGAAGAAAACTTAGTGAGGTTCAGAAAACAAGCCTCGAATAGCCACAAGGAAGTTATGTGGTTCAGTTGATAAACATTGGAAGACAAAAGAGATGATGTTTGGGAAACTGGTGGTTTTCTGATGTTCGGACTTACTGGCTATTCATTGGCTTTGTCATTGTGTCTCTTTCATTGGATACGTTCCATAGGCTAATGTTGTTTAAAACTTCTAGCCTGTAAATGTACATATGCCTCACTATTGCGCTGATAGAGAATGAATAAAATTGTGCCTCATGCTCTATCTCCAATATATTACTCTATGTGATTCTTTATTTCTTTCTTTTTGTATTTAGGGTGTTTGGTTCCTGACACCACTTTGGAATTACACACCATAGAGAGTCTTAATGGTTATGGTTTCCATAAGTCTGCTGTGTATCTGTCCAAACTCCAAACAAATCAATTCATTTTTTGCTCATTGCAGCTAATTCACTATCATTGTCGAAATGATAATTTGGAACCATGAGTCAGTCCTCTTTGAGACATAAAGATCTTTTCAGATTGGAAATTCTGTAGTTCCTCCATCACTTTCTCTTCTTTTGCTTCAATTCTGGCTACTTAAACTTGTTGGATGCACACCCTTGATACATAGGATCATGTTAAATAAAGCTAGAGTGGGTTTCGTGTATGATTAACCATGCTACGTCTACCTAATTAACTCTATATTATAATAGAACAACGGCTCTAAGGAGAGCCAAGACTCTAGTAGGAGAGAGAACGGAACAGTGAGGATAGAATCATGGAAACCTTATATTTCTGTTGAATTCCCAGTCCAAGAGTCATTGGAGAAGTTATTTCAACATCTGCAGATAGACTTTACAATTCATCCAATTCTCGTTCGTCCTGCTTTTTTTCTGTATGGAGTTCACTGACAGACCAAGAAATTGAGCATCCAAATGGACCTCAACTTTCGTTTCAGTTAGCAACGAGCACATCTAAAGACTATATACTCAAATTGATTTATATCCTCTTAGCTCTCAATCAACCTTGCTGTTCCTAGCTTTCTTTTTATGCTAAAACTCAATCATTAGTCATCATCCATTGTTTTAATTTTCTTGCAGATTCTGTCAATGAGGAATGGTCTTAATCTCCACTCGATGTATCTATCCGGAGCTCTTCAGCCTTTGCAAACTTCCCAAATGTGTATTGGTTTTGGTCTGAATAGTGATATGGCAATGAATACAGGAACAGGCTTGCTACCCCTGAACCAAGATTCAGCTGCTCAGATTTCATTTGATCTGTCAAATCGGTGGACATCCTCCCTCCAATCTACCATCGAGGCGAGTGTCTTCAATGTGACGAAGCCTGAGGCTTCGTTGTTTGCATCCTCACACTCTCATCATGCATCATTCCAAGTGCCTGTTTCCTGTGAGGTAGAATTCTTGTTGCATCGGAACAAAGTCATCTTGAAGAACGATTCGATTATGCATATATGTGGAGTTTTAACATGAATCTTTTTGCTTGTATATTGGAAGGACATGTTCTCAGGTGATGTGTCGGCCCACATGCAATTAGCTGCAGCTCATAACACAATGAGCCACATAGGTAAATTATTTTAGATTCTTCAACCAGTACGTTTGGTGGCTATTCCATTCTTGACGCTGAGACATTGTTTTCCTCATCTCATTGCTTCTCCAAGGAAATGAGAGGAGCTCCATGGCTATCAATGTGAAGCATTTGGGTAGGCGAATCGGTATTGACCATCTCAAAGAATGCATGTTTGGCAGAGAAGAGAGAACAGAAGGCATGCTATCCGATGAGGAAAAACTTCATCCAGAATCTGCATGGGTAATTTTTTCCTTCTCTTCCTTTTAGCACTGTCTGATGTTGATAAGTGTGTCATATATGAAATTGACCAGCTTACAGACTGGAGCTGATGCCAAGGAAGATTTCTAAAGTGTACCTGATACACAGAGGAATCTTTGCTGATTCCTACTGAGGCCTTCAAGCCAACAAGATTTTGGACTCATCCATGTCAAGAACTGCAACTGTGTTTTTGAACATTTCTTTGGCACTGAGACATCTAATATGTAAATTGATGAAACAGACACCTCTCATGTTCAGAGAAAGCATCATTTGATGAAGAGATCCATTTTGATCAACAGTTCAATGGCAATCACAACTTTATGGAGGGAATAACTTGTTTAATGTCATAATTATTTTTTGGGTACAAACAATAATATATTCCCTTTTGATGACCTACCAATTAAACAGAGGAGGTGAATTACAATTATGTCTATATGCATAGAACAAAATATGTAATTATCATATGGAAGAGTGCTAAACTATAATATTACTCTACTCAAATATAATGTTCATATGCGCATATATACATGCATATTGTATGCAAATAAATAATGTTGTGAGGTTAAGTTGTTTGCCTCATGAATCTAAATAACATCAAAGTCACATACTTTGTGAGGTCTCTCTCGTGGCCTTGCAAGTAAATGGAACTTGGCCAAAACCCATCATGTCAACCTGTCACGACTCATCATCAAAATCATCCACCAATGTGAGTGGATGTGGCAGGTGCTCTACCCCAATTGGTTGTCTCCCCTGTCATTACAGGCTGAGGTCACTTCCCATTCCACCTGCACTCAACTCACATGCTTTGGTACTATTCACAATAATATACAAAAAGACATGAAGATTTCAGTGTTTTTTCTTTTCTTTTTGAAGGGGCAAAAGAGTTTGGTGCTATTCATCTTCCCAATGAAGAAAATAAACAAACTCATCATTTGTTGTTAGATCTGATAAATTGTACAAAACCCTGAAGGGTCTTTCATGGTGAGGTAAATAGCTTTCTAATTTTGATAGAACTTGAACCATTTTTAGTCCCCTAAATATCTTTTCTTTTATTATTTATTTTCTTTTTTTAGTTTCCATTTGAACACGATTTGTTTGCTTCAGTCACTCTGGAGGAAGAATTTTGACATTGAATAGTTTGCTTGGATAAAGAAAGACATCGCTTTCACCTACCAAGGTATTGAAAACATAGAGATCCCCACCAAATTAAGTAGTCCAAAGGGAATGGAAACAATATTGAGATCTTATTCTTAAACAAGGTCTGTAGAAAGTCACTGTGTACATCTTTATCTCTACAATCTTATGCTCATCAGTTCTCGATTGAATTTGTCATCTTTGTGTTGTTGATGAGATGACACATCTCAAAATGACATCAAGCAAATGCATCAGAGTTATTTTGATCTGTATGGATAGCAGCATCACAAGAAAAAGTCCAACAGTCAAACTCATATTGCTGAAATTTAATTTACATGGCATAGTTCTTCTCTCTCAGCTACGATTGTAGCAGGAAAAATGTCATGCGGTTGACATTTGATTATGATGATGACATTAATTAGAACAAATTAATGGGGAGAGATGGGAGATGTACATAGATTGCCGTGATCATTTGATCCTCCGGCAGAGGGTGACGCCGTCGCCGACAGGGAGTTGGCAGATCTCGATGCGGGGGTCGGCGGCGAGAGCCCTGTTGAGGTGCAGCACGAAGTCGCGGTAGTAGCGGACGTACTTGCGCAGCGGCGCGTCCGGCGGCGCCACCACGGACCCGTTCCAGAGCGTGTTGTCGTACGCGATCACGCCGCCCACCTTCACCAGCTCCAGCAGCCGCTTGTGGTAGTTGAGGTAGTTGTCCTTGTCGGCGTCCACGAACACGAAGTCGAAGCTCCCCTGCTTCTTCTCCTGCGACCAACCACGTCGACAGCATTTATCAGCAGAGACAAGGAGTAATGGTTGGAAGATGCATTCTATTCTCACATCTTCAAGCAGTAGATCGAGAACAGGGAGGGCCGGGCCTTCGCGGAAGTCGATCTTGTGGGCGACGCCGGCCTTCTCGATCACCGGCAGACCAAGCTCGTAGTTCTCCCGGTTGATGTCCATGGCCAGTATCTAATTCATGAACGTACACACACACACACACGCACACACATACATAAAGCAACGAAGACCAAACGCCAAGGCCTGTCAAGTGATGGTGGCTACCTTGCCATCGTCGGGGAGGGCGAGGGCGGTGGCGAGGAGGGAATAGCCGGTGTACACGCCGATCTCCATGGTGTTCTTGGCGTTAATGAGCTTGAGCAGCATGTTCAAGAACTGCCCTTCGTCAGCCGAGGTTGTCATAATATTCCTGAAGAATCCATGCAGGATTAGATCAAGGAAAGTATACGTCCACCCAAATCACAACCAGTAATTGCATGATGTATATACCAAGGGTGATTGGCGGTGATCTCGCGGAGTTCTTTCATGCATTCGGGCTCGCGAGGGTAAACGGTGGTCTCCAGCATGTACTGCAAGCAGTGATATCAGAGAAGAAAGCTCAGATCCGAACCGCAGCAGATGAAAGACAGCGCATAAGCTCGGAATTGGAAGTGAATCAAAGAATCGTGCCTGATAGAGGGCGTCGCTCTGAAGAAGGCTCTTGTGCCCGACCTCCTGATGCCTCCCTTGCTGACTGCTCTCAGACTCAGAGGAAGACATTACTCTCTCTCTCTCTCTCTCTCTCTGCTTTTTTGCTGGAGTAAGAAGGCTACCAACTATGCTGGTTTGGGGTGGAGAAGCTGTGGGATCATAAAGAGGGATACACTGAAGCTGGTGACCGTCGGCGAGTGATTCCAATTGGGTGCATATTGGTGAGATGAAATGGTAAGCGGTCTTTCCAATGTCAAGATTTTGTGCTTAGGATGCTCCTTGCGACAGTTCTCTTGACAGCTTACACTGAGCTGGTTTGCTTCATCCGTACGAGACTTTCTGTTGTTGTTTCCAAGAATGATGTCTACATAGAGTTGGACCACTATCATTCGTAGATTTCATAATTTTAATTAATTAATTAAGATATATTAATTAAATTTTAATTAAAATTATTGATCAATAAAAAATTATTTATATTAAAATATTTTAAGAAGGAACTCTCTTAATTATCTTTAATAAATCCTCATCTATTTATAATGATTAAAAAAAAGATAGTAACTTTTTTTTATATATTCATGATATATGCAGATAACAATGTATTGTTTTACTATATTCGATCTACCTAATTTTTTACATAATAATTTTATTTCTTACAATTGATATCAGAGCAATGTCATTCAAAACTAAGTTCTCACATATTATTAAAGAAACTAGATCTATTTTATATTACATCTATTTTTGATCTATTTATGCATTAGATCTATCTTGATTATATCGAATTATTATTTCTATTTCGATCTTACGATGCTTGTAGGATCCATTTGAGTCTTTCCCTCTCAAACAAGTCATCTACTTACGAACGATGAAGATTTTCTAGCCCACCATGGACTACTATTGACAGTATCGCAAAGAGTTATGATAGTAGACTCTCGATTGCTAGCATTGATTTGAGGGTGATGGTCTAACAAAGTTGTGTGCCGCGATGATTAGTCATTGTTACTATAAGCAGCAATAAGGGTGCATGGTGTTATCACATGTTCGGTGGTTGTGCTCAACAACGCAGCACTATGATGTGCAAAAGCTATTGTTGTGTGCAATGGCTCTAAGGAGGGTGGCGGCCCGCTTTGGTCAGTAGTCCTATCTTATGTAATCGGTGCACACGTAGAGATGTCGTTGCGTGCGGTAGCACATGCTAGGTAGTCCCTCGAAAATAGATAGCAGCAACTGCAATGGGCAACGATGACTATTGAGTGGAGGAGCTATAACACTATGGTGAAGGTGGGCAGCATATGGACCGACGATGCTAGGAGCGATTGGAGGGAAACCATGCATGGCAGGGGAACTATAACGATGCTAGGAGCGAATTTGGTCAAGTTCTGCCCTAATTCAATTTTGACTGATTTGGCCTTAGTCAATTTTGATTTTGACCAAGTCCTTATTTTCACTTATCTCTCCCAAATTGATTGGATTTTACTAATTTATATCTTGATCCCAAATTAGTTTTGAACCCAATTTTGACCTAATTTTTGTTTTAGGTAAGTTGGTTTTGGTCCCAAATATGATTTTGATTCTTTTTGGATTTTGATTAGGTTAAACTCTAATTTTGATTGATTTTGATTCTAACTTTCATCAATTTTGCCTTTGACTAGATCTGAATTTTGATCGTCTCGTTAGATTATAACTATAGCTTAATTTAAACCTAATTTAGTTAAAATTAAGTTTTTGACTTATTTTGATCTCGGTCTAACTTTCATTTGAATGAATCCTAATTTTGATAAATTTTGACCTTGATCAACTCTAATTTTGACTGGCCTAATTGGATTAATGTTTGGTCTATAAGTTAAATTTGAATAGCCCAATTATACGTTTGCCTAATTAAATAAGATTATTTGGATTAATTTATAATTTTATATATAATTAAAAAATAAGAATTTTATTATTATTTTCTCATTAATATATTAATGAAATTTTTGCTTGTGATAATTGAATTTCAATTATTATTCTTGGAGATTTATGTAATTATTCATATGCATATGTTTAAAATTATGAAAAAAAAATATATTTTTCACATAAAGATATGATTTATGTTTATCATGATTACAATTATCACATGAGTTTTTTTTATGCTGATTAATATTTAATTATTATTATATTATTATTATTATTAAATTATTTATATATAAACTAGATTAAAATAATTTGACAAATATTATTTTAATTTATATCCCTAAGCTTTATTTGGCTAGCTTTTAAAGTGATCCCGGATGACAAGTTTATTGGATATGAATTATAATAAATATTTTATTATTTATATGATATTTTAAATTATATTTTATATTATTGAATTAGTCTTATGGTTGTTAAGGTAGCTTGAACTAATAAATTTATAAAATGATATTAAGAAATTAATCTTAAATAATATTAAAAAATAATATTCATAATGATACACATTATAATAATATTTAAATAATCTCAAAGAAGAATATATTTTAAATAATTATATGATAGAGCAAAATAATACTATTTTGAATATCCTTGTAGTTTAGGATTATATACCCAAAGATAATAATATTATTACAGAAGGATTATATCATTCCTTCGGTAAAATATTATGTGAGCATGATATGTCAATATTTTACTCAAATATAAAATAGAAATGATATCAATAGTTTAATATTTACTAAAAAACTTAAAGTATTAATATTTTAATATTTTATTATAATGATACTTCCTTCATTATATTCTTATAAATATCCATATATTTTTTAGATTAAATTATTATAAATAGATTAAGCATGTGTAATTTACATTGAGAGTTAGATATTGACCTTACTTGTTGAAAAAATTATAGATTACTAAAAGTTACGTGAGACAAATAATCAAATGATTGAAAAAGATATAAGTGGCTTAGTTTTAATAATTATTAATAATATTTAGATTTTATTAAAAAAATATAACTAGCACATTGAAATAAAGGATTGATTTAAAATGATTGATAAGTTATTAAGTGGTACCTTAATAAAAGAACTAACCATAGCTTTGTATTACAATGTTCCAGTAAATCTATTATATATCCTCATTATGACTAATAAATCTATAAAACTTAATGATATTCAATATGAATGTAAATGAGAATTTCACGTGTAATATATTCTTAATTCGTTTTATTTTTAGTTTGACTCATGTAAAATTTGGTACAACATAAATAAAGAATAAGTGAAATTTAAATAAACTAACTAGTATATATATTTAGAAATAATTAATATTAAAATAGAAAAAAAAAAAACTCATAATATTTTGAGTACATTTTGGGTACTACTAAAACAGTAGGCAACAATAAAAGGTTAAATGTGAATAATAGGATCTCGACAAGATAAATTATATGAATTATTTTACTAGAGCTAAAAAGAGAAATAATGGTGACTCTTTGACTATCTCTAACTTCTATCTAATAAAAACCCAACCAACCGAACCCCAACATACTCACCTTTTCCTTTTGTTTCGTGGCTTGCGTACAACTAATGGAGCTATTAACTCACTGTCAGCACTGTCTTTTCTTAGCCAAGGCAAAAAAAGATAAAAAAATCAGCTAAAGACTAATAGTATTGTAATATAAAGAAAGAAGTGTGATATTAATAATATATAATAATTATAACTTGTATTATTAGTCATATTTAATATAGTATTATTATATTTATTAAACTTATTAATTTATTTTTAAATTTGAGTGCATATAAATGTTTTTCAAAATTTTAAAATCTAATTGGATAAATTTACTTTTAACTATTTTTTATTTTATTTTTAAATTTTTTATCTTATCAATTAATAGGTCAAGCGAGAGAATATTAGATTTTATGATCCTAATTAATTGATTAAGATATATTGAGATTCTGATTAATATTATTAGTGGAAAGAAAATGACTTATGTTAGGATACCTTAGGAGATAATATTGATGAGAGGTACTTTCCCAATTATATTTTTTATATCCTCTATTCTCACTTATATATAGGTACAATCCTTTATGGATCACATTATAATCATAGAGATTTTTCTCTTATTTTCTTATTGTTGGGCTGATAGCCCATATTCAGCCCATGTGGGCTAGGACAGCCCACAGCCTACACCCCCTCTTAACCTAACCCTAATTAAGATTATGGGGGTGTGGTGGCTGCGTTTTAGAAGCAGAAAAATGCTATAAAAAGACAGCAACGAGGCAGATCTTTAGGGCCACGGGATTCCAAAAAGAAGAAGGAGAACAAGGCAGAAAAGAAAGAGAAAGAAAGGGAAGAAGACAAGGACAACGCAAAGAGACTGTTCTCAATTCTAGTAGTGTTCTCATCTCAGGTTAGATCAAATCTACAGTAGACTCTTGCTGTGATTACTTGTAGAGGTTTTATATATTGTGGGCAGTGACGTGATCCTTGTATCACAGTTATTCTCTTGTGGTTGTTGCTAGGGTTTAGGGCAAGAGATTGAGATTTATATATTCATTATTCTCATAGTAGATTATCTCTAGTTTGCCCCGTGGTTTTTACCCTTCACATTGAAGGGGTTTTCCACGTATATCTTGGTGTTTTGTTTGATTGTGTTTCTATTTAATTCCGTTGCGTATTATGGTCTTCTAGTATTTGTTCATATACAAAGGTTATTCCTCTTTATATCCCCATCAACTGGTATCAGAGCGGGTTTTTGGTGATTTAATTTTTGTATTTGAACATGGAGGCCAGTAATATTTCTCGCATGATTAGTTTGAATAGAAATAATTGGATGATATGGAAACCAAGAATGAAAGATCTCTTGCATTGCAAAGATTTGTATGGACCTTTGTAGGGGGATAGTGCAAAACCTACAACTATGACAGATGATGAGTGGAAGAGGTTAGATCGAAAAACAATTGGGTTTATTAGACAGTGGCTTGATGATAGTGTCTTTCACCATGTTTCTACTGAAATTTCTGCATATTCTCTTTGGAAAAAATTGGAAAGTCTCTATGAAAGAAAAATAACTGGCAACAAAGCTTTTTTGATCAGAAAACTTGTGAACCTAAAATATAGAGAGGGTACTTCTATTGCTGAGCATTTGAATGAAATGCAGAGTATTACTAACCAGTTATCCTCTATGAAAATGTCTTTTGATAATGAGTTGCAGGCATTGTTACTTCTCAGTTCATTATCAGAAAGTTGGGAGACACTGGTGGTTTCCCTTGGTAATTCTACGCCAGATGGTATTGTCACTATAAGTCAAGTAACAAGCAGTTTGTTGAATGAGGAGTTGAGAAGAAAGAGTTCAGCAACATCTCAAAATGATTCACAGGCACTTATCTCAGAGAACAGAGGAAGGTCAAAGTCCAAAAGCAGTTCACGTATGGGTAGGAGCAAGTCAAGATCAAGAAAAATGAGAGTGAAAGGACCAATGTAAGCAACCTAAGAAGAACAAGAAAAAGGGAAAAGAAGTAGAGTCTACAGAGTGAAAGGATAATACTACAACTACAGTGTAGGGTGGTGATTATTTGATTTTGTCTCCTTCTGATGATATTTTTTCTTGTGTGTGTCAGGATCTTGAGTGGGTGATTGACACAGGTGCTTCTTATTATGCTGCACCACGAAGGGAGTTTTTTGCTACATATAGGTCTGGAAACTTTGGTGTTGTCAAGATGGGCAACTATGACACAGCAGAAATCATTGGCATGGGTGATATCCATTTAAAGACCAACCTTCTGCAAGTTGGTGCTTAAGGATGTGAGGCATGTGATTGACTTGAGGCTGAATTTAATTTCAGTTAGAAGACTAGATGATGAAGACTATGAAAGCAGATTTCATAGAGGGCAATGGAAGCTCAGTAAGGGTTCTCTTGTTATAACTAGTGGAAAGAAATGTCATACTTTGTACAGGTTACAGGCTAAAGCTTATGGTGAGCAGTTAAATACTACAGAGAAAGACTTCAGTATGAAGTTATGGCATAAGCGATTGTGACACATGAGCGAGAAGGGGTTGCAAGCTATTTCCAAGAGAGAGGTATCGCTAGATCTCAGAGGTATACATCTGAACCCTTATATTGATTGTTTGGCTGGTAAACAACATAGAGTTTCATTTGCTAGTGCTGCTTTGTCTAGAAAAATGCATGCCTTAGACCGTGTTTATATAGATGTATGTGGTCCTTTGAGGACAAAAACTCTTGGTGGATTTGTTGATGTTCTTGGTATAAGTGGTGCACTTTATTTTGTCACTTTTATAGATGATTTTTCCAGGAAAGTTTGGGTCTATGCTTTGAAGACCAAAGATCAAGTTATTAATGTCTTCAAAGAGTTTCATACCAGGGTTGAAAGGGAGACAGAAAGGAAATTGAAATGCATAAGATCATATAATGGTGGTGAGTATACATGATTGTTTAATGATTATTGCAGGTCACATGGGATCCAACATGAGATGATAGTTCCTGGTACACCTCAGCATAATGCAATTGTAGAGAAGATAAACCGCACCATCATGGAAAAAATTAGATGTATGCTTTCATAGGCCAAGCTACCCAAAAGGTTTTGGGATGAGGCTTTGAGGACTGCAGTTGATGTGATCAACTTATCACCATGTACAACCCTAGATGGTGATGTTGCAGAGCATATATGGTCAGAGAAAGATGTTTCCTACATGCATTTGAGAGTATTTGGTTGTCGCGCATTTGCACATATTCCAGACAATGAGAGGTCCAAGCTGGATGGTAAGTCTAAAGAATGTATTTTTCTTGGTTACTCACATGATCATTTTGGTTACAGGCTTTGGGATCCAGAAAAGCAGAAGGTATTCAGAAGCAGAGATGTAGTCTTCTTTGAGGATCAAACCTTTGAAGATTTGAAGAAGAAGACACAGGCCAAGACTTCTGTAGAAGGATTAGCAGATTGTGACCCAGTTATTCCTCCATTATATCATGGTAATGGGGGAGATGTGCAGGAAGATAGTGTAGAGCCTGATATTGATCTACCTGCAGGACATGTTAAGCAAGAAGAAGTAGGAGAGCAAGTTCCAACAGAATCTCAGTTGAGAAGATCTTCTAGACAACGTCAACCTTCCAGAAGATACTCTACAGATGAGTATGTGATGCTTACTGATGCAGGTGAACCAGAGAGTTACCAGGAAA